TTAGGAAGCCAGGACTGGTACCGCTACTGCCAATACTGTTACTGTTAATACTACTTACTAGGGTGTAGGTGAGTGATATTTTTTGCTGGTACCGTTACTGACTGTTTATTTATTCAGAAAAGACGCTCATTAAAGTCCGAACTGAGCTCATATCCTCTCATTCTCGGCAAAAATTATAGTACTATTGGCGCTGGCACTGGCGCCTCCATTCGTTAGAGGTGACGCTGATTAAGCCAACGCTAGGTTTCATATTCTCTTGGTCTCAACAAGGAGTGCGAGTCTGGTTTTAAAATATTTCGAGTAAGTACATGCTTGGGATCCAGTGCACAGCAGTGCTTGCCTTAGCTTCCACACTCTCAACTCTATCCATCGAGCTATTTGCGTTTCTACTAGCTACGGACAACCATACTGCTGCTATAGGTACGTGCATATGCTGAACGTGCTGAATTATAGTAATCATGCTTACTATGGCCAGTAGATAGTATGCTTTAAATAGTGCCTGTGTGTGCTTTTTAAGAAGTCACACCCAGTATGCACTCTCAATCTGTGTGAGGTAATAGTGATTAGTATTTTGATAATATTAGAACGTTCGTAGCAGGCAGATGATAGTTTGATTACCGACTTCGATTATGTCTACCATATATCTCTACTTGTAGTCTCTGGGTGTATCTTTCGATAGAAAACGCAAAGCTGCAGGTACCGTCAGTCTGCAAGATTAGCTCAGTGGTTACCATGTCGCAAGGTACTGCCATTTGCCGTCTTCAGGCTAACTATAGAATTGCTACCGTATCCAGCTATGATTTGGAAGTTGCAGAACGTTCCCTGTATAATTAAGGGAACAACATATTTCAGAAAATGCTTGTCATAATAGCATGGTAGTACCTATTCTGTAACAATATCTGAGTGGTAAGACATGCATCTTATAGTTGCAATAAGCACAGCTGATGGGAATATGCGTTTACAAGCCTCCTTGTCCTCCACGGAAGTGATCGGTAAAACATGCTGGTTAAGCTGGGTTGATTTTTGTCGCTGTACCGATGACGCAGACCAGCAGACGATTGACGTAGCCGTTGAAAGTTCCTTGATAAAGCTTTGTTGGTCGAGCGCCCACACTGGTTTTTGAGCAAGCAATTACTCGTGGTTTTGCACGCGACAGCTTCGGCCATGTATTTTGTTGATGCCCAAGCTATGCCCTAAGCAGGTTGGTGCAGTGACTTGAGCGCGTTTTAGGTTTAAAGTGATAGTCGACTTCCCGCAACATCAAACCGCATTCTCGCTCATCACTCATCCATCATACTCGTCAAATACACTAAGCCAACGACACACTGCCAATATAGTAGGCTAACAGATAGTATTGCCAACAAAGACAAGAGAGGTGGGAATTAGCGCTTCTGGCTTTGAAGCCGTCGTTAGCCAATCATGCCTGACCCCAAGTGGTGCATCCACCGAGGAACGAAATCGCGACCTTTCTGATCAGAGCTCAACACACTAACCATTGAGGTACGAGGTCATTATCTTGTCCATTTAGGTCCGGAGATACTGAAACTTGTTGATGAACGTTGACCGACCGTTAAGGGAAATCACTTGTCCTTCTCTGTCTCGGGTCTAGCATATTTGTTATGGGGACGCGAACGGTGACGCACTCAGAGCCCAGAGCTGAAAGTGC